AGCCAATTTAAAATCGTTAGTTTCGTATTGATTGTTGACGTTAGTGCTATTAAAAACCACATTACCTCGCTTTTTCACATAGCGATGAAAGCTTCACAAGAAAATTTTGCAAATTCAATGCCAACAATGACAGCAGGAATTTCCGAAGACCTTAACTTTCTCAAGGACGAGCTGAAAAATATCAGCAATATAACTTCTGACCTGTGCTCTATTGTTGCAATGCAACAAAACCCTATACTAGGGTTAGGTATTGTATTAGATGAGCTGAAATCGTTATCGGCTGGTATTGGCAACATCGAAACCCAAATTAACTGTGTCACACTTAATATGCCAGACTCCCCATACGAAGTGATATCACCATCACCTGACCCTCTCCCCAGTTTGCTGGAAGAGTTAAACAATGAGCAAAACGTTGATGACTCAGGGTGGCGTCTTTTGGGCATGAGGAGGGTCTGGAAGGCAGACTGGTCAGATTACGACGCGCGCAAATCACGACGGCTAAATCAACAAAAACATGCTGAAAAAGCTAGAAGGAAAAGGAAACAAAATACAGCACGAAATTATTCTAACGTAAGGAACAACATACACAGCAACAGTTTAAAGCATCGTAATCATCGAAACATGAATTCCGACAACGGTTACAGTACCAATCACAGCAATATTTTCGGTCACCGGAGCATCATTCGACATAACGAACAGGATAACATTAATAGCAATAACAAAAACAACAGTTCCTACCAGTCCCACATCAGAAATCATGGCAACCCCCGTTTTCTTCCACCTGATCGAGAGCTGCTTTCAGCAGCAAAAAATGTCTTCAACAAACCACCGGTTAATTATCAACCTACGATGCAGTTTGAAAAAAGGGAAACTATAAACCCGTACCCAGTAAGCGGTCTTCAGAATTCACATGGTATGGCTCCGGGGAATTCTTCCTCTACATCGTGTCAGCCGTGCACATGTAGACATGCGTGTTTTCGGCACCACTGACGCACTCACCTGAGGTAGAATATGACAACATAGCTGAGCCCGAGGATCATGGCATCTCACATAACTTGAGGGATTTCGGACAGGATGCAGCCACTTCACCCCCTGACCAGCACGACGTAAGTGACCATGTCGCTAGTTTATCAAGTAGCTCTTTTTTAAGTGAAACTACAGTCTATTGCCAAAATTTTAACCGTATGCGTAGTGCGTATAAAATAAATGAAATTCAAAATAAAATAAGCGGATGCACATATGATATAATAATTGGAACAGAAACTAGTTGGTCTGATAGCATTAATAGCGAAGAGGTCTTTGGTAGTAAATATTGTGTTTTTCGATGTGACCGCGATTTATCATTATCAGGTAAAAAATCAGGTGGTGGTGTACTTATTGCTGTGAATGCTACATTTCAAGCTGAACAAATTGTTAGTGAAAGCCAAAAAGAATTTGAAGATGTGTGGGTTAAAATTTTAATAAACGGCGAAGAACATCTTTTCGCTTCTGTCTACTTTCCTCCACACTTTTCCAAAAAACCAGCTTACGAAAAGTTTTTCACTGCTGCAGAACTGAAAATTCAAAGAGAAGATCCAAGAACCAAAATTCATATTTATGGAGATTTTAACCAGAATACTGTTAATTTTATACAGGATAGTGATAATGATTCTCTGTTGTTACCAATTGTAGGAGAAAACGATACTTTGCAATTCATCTTTGATAAAAGCAGCCACTTGGGACTTCATCAAATTAACCATGTTCGTAACCAGCTCAATTCCTATTTGGATCTTATGTTTACTAATTGTACAGAAGATTTTTGTATTGTAGAAGCAGCAGTTCCATTATGGAAGAATGAAAAATTTTATACGGCTATTGAATACTCAGTGTTCACAGACTCGCATCGGTCACGCCCAAGCGTTGTTGATTTTGAATTAGTTTATGATTTTAAAAATGCAAATGTTCCTGAATTTAACAACAGACTGAATAACATAAGTTGGCAAAACCTTTTAAAAGATGAAAACAACATGGACAAGGCTGTTGACATATTTTATACTAACTTATACAATATTATTGAAGAATTCGTTCCTAAAAGACAAAAGAGAATAGTGAACAGCACCAAATATCCTGTGTGGTATACACAAGAAATCAGAAATATTAAAAACAGGAAGCAAAAAGCACACAAGGCGTATAAAAAGTTTAAAACGTCACAAAATTTAGAAAAATACGTTGAAATTTGCGGAGCACTTGAGGCAGAAATATCGTCAGCATATGAGAATTACAATTCAAGAGTAGAGAAAAATATAAAATCAGATCCCAAAACGTTCTTTAACTTCGCGAACGAAAAAATGAAGTCATGTACATTCCCATCACGCATGCAGTTTGAAGAGTGTGATAGCACTGATAGTGAGGATATTTGTAACCTATTTGCTCGTTTTTTTCCAAAACACATATAAGAAATCCAGTAATGCTCTCGATTTGAACTATTTTTCTTACCTACATGAAGGGGAAAATGACGTATCAGTTAAAAATATCACTGTTAAAGAAATTTTTATGACTTTTGAAAGTCTCGATGCTGGCAAAGGACCTGGTCCTGATGAAATACCTCCATTTTTATTGAAAAAAATAGCAACAAGTTTTGTTAAACCATTGTTTTGGCTTTACAATTTATCTCTCAAAACAGGTGATTTTCCAAAAATTTGGAAGAAATCATTTTTAGTTCAGATATTAAAAACTATAGAGGTATTGCAATTATGTCATGCATTCCTAAAATGTTTGAAGCAATTGTTAACCAGAAAATATTTAACCAGGTTAAGCATCGCATTTCAAATAATCAACATGGTTTTTTTTAAAGGTCGGTCAACGTCTACTAATCTGTTGGAATTTGTAAACTTTTCTATTGAAGCAATGGATAGAGGTAATACCGTTGAAACCTTATACACTGACTTTAGTAAGGCCATTGACAGAGTAGACATTCCCTTACTTCTTTTTAAATTAAAACGTTTAGGTATGACAAGTACACTTTTAAAATGGATTGTATCATACTTGACAGAAAGAACACAGATGGTCCGCTTTAAAGGAAAAATATCTTCGCCAGTTAATGTTACCTCGGGAGTTCCACAGGGATCTCATTTAGGTCCTTTATTATTTATTTTATTTGTGGATGACGTGAAGTTTGTGTTAAATCGTTTAAATGTGCTCATATATGCTGACGATATGAAACTGTACATGGAAATCTTTGACAATTCTGATTTGCTACATTTTAAAAATGAAATTGATGTTTTCTACAACTGGTGCGTTAAAAGTCTGCTGGATATTAATTTAAAAAAATGCAATATTATATCATATTCCAGAAAAAACACTACTCTAGATTTTACATGTACTCTAGGAAACCAGCTGGTTGTAAGGTGCGATAAAATTAGGGACTTAGGAGTAATTCTTGACTCGAAGTTGACATTTGTAGATCATGTGAATACCACAATTCACAAAGCAAATAATATGTTGGGATTCATAAAAAGATTTAGTTATCATTTTAAAGACCCATATACCATCAAAACACTTTATATAGCTTACGTGAGATCAATTCTCGAATACTGCAGTGTGGTTTGGGCTCCATACCATGAAACTTATATAAATCGTATGGAATCAGTTCAAAAACAGTTTTTGTTATTTGCTCTTAGGAAACTAGGCTGGACCTCTTTTCCCCTTCCTTCTTATGAGTCCCGTTGCATGTTGATAAACATTGAAACACTTAAGAAACGAAGAGAAATTTCCATGATTTCCTTTGTCAATGATATTATCTCACAACGCGTAAATTCAGAAAAAATATTAGCAAGATTAAATTTTTACGTACCATCACGCATGTTAAGAACTCGAAATGTATTTCAACTGTCACCTCACAGAACGAATTATGGTAAAAATGGACCAATTAATAGAATGATGAGAGTGTATAATAATTATTGTGAGCATATAGATCTAACGATGTCTAAAGATACAGTAAGGAGAACACTAACTGCTAGGATTTCATCTCGTTAAGTTTAAATAATTTTTATTTTTTAGATAGTTGTATATGCAGTCTACATTTGCTGACAATTTCAAATAAAACGTATGTTTTAAAATAGCATGTAAGGCAACAGCACTATTGTAAAACGGTCTACACTGATTGACGACAAATAAATAAATAAATAAAAATACCATTAATGAATGATAACCCAAATTATAGAACTATTCCACAAATGGTTTGGATAATACCAACAATCAATACGAAACTAACGATTCTAAATTGGCTCACTACTTGACTAGCCTATTGGTGTTGCTATTGGTCCCAAGCAAACGATTAACGTACCCCATTCTAGTCGAAATTCTACTAGTACACAATGTTTTTTTTTTGATTCGCTATGAAAGTTTGACAGATAAAATGAGGGGTTATTGGTTTTTCCTATGTTTCGAGGGGTATATCGATTAGCTTGGGACCGAAGAGAGTACCAGAGCTGAGCCAAAAAGTTGAGCACGTTATTTCGGGACTTTCTAGTCTTAGAGTTACCTCTATGATAATACCTCGAACACGTCGTTCTGTAAAATAACCATACAAATGTTATTAGCCTTTAGTGTTCGTGAGATTGTGCTTGGAGATCTCTATAGATTTTTCCAGCTGCACATGTATTTTATAAAAATTGCATATGTATTGCTGTGACGACTGTTGAAATCCTATGAATTTACGCACTGCATTAGTGTTCGCGAGATTCTGCTTGTAGAGCTCAATGTATTTCAAGTTTCCCCAACATTATGGTGGGGTTATTCTGCGTGGGCGAGCTAAGACTTTCGACATATTGACGTTTGAATCTTTGTTTACATAAGCAGATACAACTATTTTAAATAACATACACAACACACATGAAGGGATTTATTTTCTAAAATAGGTACACCCATTTTTCAGAGAAAAAAAAAACTCATTTAATTAAGGAAAAGTAAAAAAATAAATATTAATTGAATTTTTCAACCACAAATGGCCCCGTACTTTCATCCTTTCAATTGATTGGTCTTCTCACTGCTTCCCGCGGCAAACCTTCCTATGAGCATTTTTCTGCTTTCTGGTTGTAAAAGTTCGTTCACATTTAGCACAACGCTCTTCTTGTTTCTGAAAATCAGACGCAGAACTGTTTTAAAAAAACTCGATCAATCTACCCCCACCGAACAAAACTTACCCGCTCTGCACGCACATTTGCTATCAACTTATTGACTGCCGGTTTAACGCGGGCATTTGTTCTCAGACCGTGCACCAGAAACGTGTGTTTGTTGTAGAAAGAGTGGAATTTGAAATCTCGCTCACAGCAAACGTAATCCTTCCGGTAGGAAATGCAAAGATGCTTATCGAATTCGTCCTGAGTTAGAAAAGCCACCAAGCAGATGGCACACTCCAGCGGTTTGGGATTAGCATGGTGGCCCATGTGTTCTTGGCGCTGATCCTCGGTGGAGAACGATTTCAGACATATGTCACACAGGAAATACGTTTGGATCTGTGAATATAAACTTATGAATGGAAGCAGCTAGCCGTATTTCCTCCAGCAGACTTACGTTGTGAACTCGTTCTATGTGCATCCGGAGCTTGTCTTTTCGCCCATAGGATGTGTCGCAGTAGTCACAGTTGAATCGAACTTTCAGGTGAATCGTTTCCTTATGTCGGTGCAAATGCATTGTGGTTTTGAATGCCTTTTCGCAAAAAGGGCACTGGTAACTTCGAATCTCGGAATGAGACTTCAGATGTCGCTTTAGGCAAGTGGCACTGAAATGAGATACAGACCATTAGATGAGTTCTCCTCAGTTTTAAAAATAACTTACTTCTTAAATTCTAGACCACAGATTCCACATTTGACTCTTTCGCTCGTAACATGAACCAACCCTAGATGTAACTTGTGCTCTTGAGCCGTATAGAACGTGGAAGGGCAGTACTTGCAAGTGAACCGTGTCTCGCCTTTATGTCTCCGAACGTGTACATCCAAAGAATACTTATTCTTCAGCACTACTCCGCAAATGTCACAAACACAGCACTGATGGACTTCTCTCTTGTGTCGTACCAGAAGATCTTTCCAATCAAACTGTTCCTCGCAATCATTGATTCCACATTTCCACTCGGTTTGCGTTTCCTGCTCCACATGCTTCTGCTTGTGATATTCAAATGTATCTTTGTAGTAAGTCGAAAACCGACATTTGTCACAGCTCAGAGGTTTCTCATATTTCACTTTCGATGCAGGAGACCGCCGTTCCCCCGGACTGCTTTCCGGTTCTTCAACGATCATAGTCTGATCTTCTGCTTCTTGCTCAAATTCTAGATACTCCACCTCGATGTTGGCAGAGTTATCCGATAAACACTCGCTACTGCTGTCTTCTAGTAACTCAATATGAAAAACGTGCGGTTCTGTTTCATCAGTTTCGTCGTTCATTATAACCTCGACATTTCCAACGGTTTCCGGATTGACTTCTTTCGCCTCGGCTTCGGTGCACTCTAAATCATCCCAACAAAGAGTATGTTCCGGTTCTATGAGACTCAGTTCTTGAAATTGCAAGTTCATGTAATCATGAGACTCATCAAACAGCTGCCGCAAGGGATTGGGATCACTCTGTTTCAGTTTGACAAAAGCGATCTGGAAATCTAGCAAGAAAGCCATTTTTCGCTTGAATTTATATGCCGCCATGAATTCCTGTTGGCATTGCTCGCATAGGGCAGACGGAAGTTGCGCGTTGAGATCCTAATAGAAGTTAGGATAAAAGAAAAGAAGATAACAGTTAAGATGGCTAGTCGAAAATTGGTCGATCGGCAACAGAGGGATTTGCGAATATTTTTAATTTATTTTCGAAGAGTCAAATTTAATATGTTTCAAACATTCCAGAAGATTATTTCAGACGCTCCAGACGTGCCCAAAGGAGTCTTCCCATGTTTTCAACGATGATTCCTAAGATGATTCCAGACATTCCTGAAAGGAGACTCCAGATGTTCCCAAAGATGATTCCAGACGCTATTGACGGTGACCCCAGACATTTCCAATGAAGATTCCACACGTTTTCGATTCCAGCCATTGCAGAAGTTGATTCCAAACGTTCCTGACGCGAGGTTCCAGAAGACAATTTTTCTTTCTCTATGGTGGTTCCAGACATTCACGAGAATGATTCCAGATGTTCACGAGGGACGTTGCAGACGTTCCAGCAGAACATGATTTCAGACCCTCCAGACCTTACTCCAAACGTGATGTTTCATTTTAAAGAAAGTATTTGCAATCTTACTTATGACACATTTTAAAATATTTAATCGATATTAGATTTAAAGTTTAGAGCGGTAATTTGGAGTATAGATTCCAATAAAGGCAATGAACACATTTTCATGAACGTAATTTTGGTTTTGAACGAAAACTATTTTTGAACTTTTGAAAATCAATGTCCCCCATGGAACTACCTCCCTTTTTGCAATCATACATCACAGATTTTCGATCTTATTCAATTTTAGCCTATTAAATAAAATTTACTTTTGTTTATAAATAATGTACCAACATTCCCTTACCTTCGGTGTGGGGGCGCAGAAATCCTCCAGCAGATCAACGAGCTGTGCATCGTACTCCGGCGGGGTACTGCCGAGCGGAACCATCTCCGGTGCCGGTTTGTGATGCAAACATAGCCGACACACGTCGGGAAAGTGCTGCAAAGCACTTATCGTCATATTTTCACTGTTTTCCGGTGGGAAATTCTCAAACAAAAATATCAGCGAATATTATTCAATCCCGTTTGAAAATTTTGTTTTTGTTTTCCCTCTTGACCGCTGTCGATGACATGCGTTGATAAACAGAGCTAACGTCACGTACAATCGCAAGAGTCGACCCAATCTAGTACTATCTCATCTAAACCGAAACTGACGGACGTTGCCCCCCGATGAACAGAAACATTCCTGTGCACAGTTTTGCTTGATTGTGGTCAACCGACAAACATTTTTCAGTATTTTGTGGTGTTTTTCGGTGAAATTTCGTACAAATGTGTCGGTAGGTTAGTGTCCCATTACAGTGAGCGAAAATGTCTGAGCTGAAAGCAAAGAAAATCCTTGCGGAGCTGGTGAAAAAATCAGGGTAAGTCACAACGGATTGGTTTGTTTACAACCGTGCCGTTCTCAAATTATCTGGTTGCTTGCAGATGCACCTATTCCGTGGATAACGTCCTGACCATTTTCCGGAACAAGGATGCGAAATATAGCAATAAACGGTTGGGAGCATTGCTGACCCAGCTGTTCAAAACCACCCCGAACGGGGCCAAGTATGTGGACGAATTTGTGTCCTCCAATTCGAAGGATACGTACGCGGCCTTGGTTCTGGTGCTGAACAATTTCCTGCAGGATTGCAAGACTCAGCATTCGGAAAAGTCCGTAGTGCAAGCGGAAAAGGCACAGCCTCCGGTCGTAGATTCCGTCTCCAAGCGGGTGACACTGTTCGAAACTCCTCCACTGTCGTCGACTCGAATCGCCGTTCCGGAGCAGATCACTCCGGAGAACGTGCAAGAAATCAGGGAGAAACTCGTACAGGCGGCGATCGGATCGGCGGCGAACCGATCGTCCGGTTCGATACCAGCTGCGCTAGTTCCGCAAACGTTCGACTACATGGCCAAGAAGGGGCCGATCGTCTCGTGGAACTTCAACTACGAGGAGCTCTATCCGATGCAGAACAAGAATGTGGCCGCCATTCCGCTGAGTTCGCAAGAGCCGATCGTCCTGAAAGAGTTGCTGGACTGTTTGATGGGGGTGAAGGGATCGTTGATTGCGCCGAAGAAGACAATCCATTCACCGGGTTTGTATCCGGTGGAGTTTGAAGTGTCCGATCAGATCGGGGAATCGCTGAAGGACATGGTGAGGGAGATTCTCCCGTTGGCATCGCATTACTCACAGGTGCAGGATTTCATCGCAGCATCGAGCTCCCTCGAAAGTGGGCAGGTCTTGCAAGCTCTACGGGCAGCACTTCAGACCATCATAAACGATTACTATCTCTCGATAACGCAGCTGGAGGAGCTGTTCCTCAAGCAGCAGCTTACGTTCCACAAGCTACTCTACTTGCTGCGTCCAGTTTTTCACACGATGGAAGTGCTAGCGGAAATTGTGACCGCAATTAGGCAGACCAATTGTCGAGGCGGAACGGTCCTTACGCTGCTGCATGACAAAATCACTTCCACTATGGGAGACGAGAAGAGTCAGAAGGTGTTGATCCATCTGATCGAGATGGCTGCTGTACCCTACATGGAAATGCTGCAGCTATGGATCTTCAATGGGGTAATTCATGACCCTCGTAAGGAGTTTTTAATCGAACATCACGAGATGGATCTCAACGAGAACGAGCTAATGGACTACTGGGAGAAGCAGTACACGATACGAATGGATAAGGTTCCCTGCATCCTGAACAAATATGCCGACATCATTCTACGCACCGGGAAATACCTGAACGTTATCCGAGAATGCGGAAGCTCCGTAGACTATAACCAGCAGATCTGCGTCACACTAAAGTACACTCATTCCGAACATCAGACGTACATCAAGTCCATAGAAGATGCGTACAACTACGCTTCTTCTTCGCTACTGAACCTGATCATGGACAAGTACAATCTGATGGGTCGGTTGTACTCCGTGAAGCGTTACTTCCTTCTACAGCAAGGGGATTTCATCGATCAATTTATGGATACCTGCGAGGAAGATCTGAACAAGGACGTCGATGACCTTCGTCCAATGCGACTGGAGAATCTCCTCGAGGTCACACTCAACATGTCCTCTGCTCGGTACGACGAATATCACGACGACCTCAAAACCATGCTTCTGCCCTACGGAATCGTCACTCAGATTTCCAAGATCGTCAAAAAAGAGGACGTCTTCCTGGACACCCTTGGCGATACATCCCAGCTGAAAGGAATCGAATGCTTCACTTTCAACTATAACGCCCAGTGGCCAGTTTCCATCGTACTGAACCGGTGGACCATCTCCAAGTATCAGATGATTTTCCGACTGCTGTTCTATCTCAAGTACGTCGAGCGGATACTGTGCCGTGTTTGGATTGCCAACAATCGAACCAAGCAGTTCGCACCGCAAACGGCCAAATTGTACCGGTCGGCATTTACCCTGCGGCAGAAGATGCTCATAGCCATCCAGAACTTTGAGTCGTACATGATGATCGAGGTGATCGAACCCAACTGGCACCTCTTCTATCAGAACATCAAACAGGTAAGTTCGATCGTTATACATCTCTCCGAAAAAAAAACCGCTCTTCACTCAATTTCGCAGATTAAAAACATCGACGACGTCCTGAACTACCATCAGGACTTTCTGGACCAGTGCATAAAAAACTGCATGTTGACGGATCCCGATCTTCTGAAAGCTGTCATCAATCTCTGCAACATTTGCATTCAGTTTTGCACCTTTCTAGCGGTAAGTCCTTCAAACAACTTCTCACCCATTCCAAAAACCAATAGCACAAATAGCAGCCACCTTTAAAATATTGTGTGTCTCTTTCTCTCTCCACATTTTTGTTTTATTCATTTAACGGGGACGCTGCTTTTGTAATGTGCGTGTATTGAAATGCCTGTGCGTGTCAAAATAAACCCCAAACGGAACAAACAAACAAACTGCAGGAGGCACAGCGACATTTCATTGATGCCGAGCTCTGTTCGATGTTGGCCTCAACCGATGAGTTTTCGCTTTCCTCCGAGTCGGACTATGACTTTGCATGCCAACAGGTATACTCAAACCTAGTTTAGGAAGAAGAAGTTTTGTGTTGTTTAATTTTTATGTTCCATCACTGTTCGTTGCTAATGGACACGGAAGTTACAAATCCTAGATCGTATTAACAAAGTGGCACCTGCTCCTATCCTAAAGCAATAGATTTCACCAGATAACGCTTGCTAAAATGTGTTCCTATGCCGTTGATAACGCTCATTGTTACATGCTTACTTTGAGGGGTACCAGTCTATAGCAGGTATTTGAATCTACGCCGAAAGGGGAATTCTACGCCAATCGCGTCCTCTCGCCATGGTCCTAATATCAACCGCAGCTGCAATATCATCACCTTCCACCGCAAGCTAAAACCTATTGCATTCAATTATACGATCGATAACCAACCTCTATGATACTACCATAGAGGTAACTCTAAGACCAGAAGGTCCCGAAGAAACGTGCTCAACTTTTTGGCTCAGCTCGGTCCCAAGCTAATCGATGCACCCCTCGAAACATACACGGCGAATGAGAACGACTCAAATTTGAGTTTTGTTCACTCATAATCGCCAAAAGTGCAGGAACTCAGCGATGAGTTAATTTACCTCATGTTTTCCCAGGGTTTTCCAGGCTTTTCCAGGGAAAAATTCCCGAATTTGAGAAAAGTAAAGATTGGATTCACTCAGTCTATTGGTACTATCATAGAGGTAACTCTAAGACCACTGGGTCCCGAAGAAAATCATTATTATTTTTGGCTCACTCAGTACCAGAACAACGGTCCCAAGCAGTCCCAAGCTATTTCACTCACCCCTGCATGTTCTGCATGAATCCACACACCCCTGATGATATCTGTCAAACTTTCATAGCGAATCAAAACAAACATAGTGTAGTAATAGAACTTCAACTAGAATAGGGTACGTTAATCGTTTGCTTGGGACCAATAGGCTACTAAAGTGGTGAGCCAATTTAAAATCGTTAGTTTCGTATTGATTGTTGGTACTATTCCGAGGCTGAATAAAATTTTCGTCAATTTCCTCATTTTCCGGCTGATTTTTTAGGTTTTCCACAGGAAACCATGAGACAAATTTTACTCATCGCTGAGTTCCTGCACTTTTGGCGATTATGAGTGAACTAAACTCAAATTTGAGTCGTTCTCATTCGCCGTGTACTCAGAGGGGCGGAGAGAATGTTTTGAGCCAAATGAACTGTCAAAATCTGAGCTAATCAAACATTCCAATTAGAATTTTTCCGAGGATTTCTTATTCTTACTAGAATAAATTTGAGAGTATTGCAATCGAACAGAAATTCAATCACCTTTATGTTTTGTGTGCTTCTCAAATTCAACTAGTTTTTGGAACCAAAAACAATATTCTAACTCTATTGATTAATTGATCTTCGTTGGTTAATGAATGGCACCAAGAAATGTGCAAAATATTGCGATGCAATCAATTATTATTTTGCACGTAAATCGAATCAAAAATAAAAGTCATTTGAAATGCTAACTTCTAGCAAGGGTTGCAAGATAATTTAGGAACAAATCCCTGCTGCCGAATTGTATTTTGTTTTCTCCGCCTATCTCTCCCTTTGAGTATTTCTAGTGGAAACTAACGATTTTAAATTAGCTCACTACTTGACTAGCCTATTGGTCCCAAGTACATCTATAAGCGTATCCCATTCTAGTCGAAATTCTAGTACTACACTATGTTTTGATTCGCTACACGGCGAATGAGAACGACTCAAATTTGAGTTTAGTTCACTCATAATCGCCAAAAGTGCAGGAACTCAGCGATGAGTTTAATTTTTTCTCATGGTTTCCTGTGGAAAACCTAAAAAATCTGCTGGAAAATGAGGAAATTGACGAAATTTTTATTCAGTCTCGGAGTAGTACCAATAGACTGAGTAAATCCACCCGCATAAACAATAATTCAGTGCCAACATTTGGCACTGAATTATAAAAAGCGCCTAACCGCCAAATCGGGATATTATCCCAAATTTATGTGGTTTGGTTGTATCATCTATAGTCCTCTCCAGGCGGGTTCGTATTGGTGCGATTTGCGTGTGTTAGTGAGATGAAAATTTTTGTTAGCTGTGAGAAATTTTTTGTTTGTTGTTAGAACTGTCATTCTAAAGTAAAAATAAACAACAAAACAAAAACAAACCCTACGCTTGCACGGTAACAGTCAAGTACCCTTTTGTGAGTAAAGCTTAACCCATTTTTGATAAAGGTGGCTTTACTCATTAATGAGTAAATTATTTTAACAACAATGAGTTTCTGCTAACAGTAGCTAACAGTTACTACTTAATTGGCATAATGAATTACTCATTAATTAGTGGTGCCAATTTTATTGATAATGGGTTCACTTTGACTCATAAATGGATGTTTGATTCTTACCGTGCACATGACAGTATAGGCTAGTGTGTGTAAAACTATGTTATTAGTGTAGTGTTCGTGAGATCCTGCTTGGAGAACTCAATGATATCGATAGTGTATGGTACCCGTTTATTAGGGCAATCTTTACTTTTCTCAAATTCGGGAATTTTTCCCTGGAAAATCCTGGAAAAACCTAGGAAAACATTAGGCAAATTTACTCATCGCTGAGTTCCTGCACTTTTGGCGATTATGAGTGAACTAAACTCAAATTTGGGTTGTTCTCATTCGACGTGTATGAAAGTTTGACAGATGAAATGAGGGGTTCGTGGATTTTCCTATGTTTCGAGGGGTGCCTCGATTAGCTTGGGACCGAAGATAGTACCAGAGCTGAGCCAAAATGTTGAGCACGTTTCTTCGGTTGTTTTTTTTTTTAAACTTTATTTAAGAGATTTTTAGCCTTAGGCTAGATCATCTCTTAATACGTTTCTTCGGGACCTTCTTTATGGATACACCATAGAGGTAACTATATGTTGGATACACTGCTTCCACTGGAGATGACCTCTACTACTGCATTTGTAAGACGAGGTCTTTCACTTTTTGGGTTTGGTACGTTTGGGTTTCACGTCTTTCCGACGTCGTTTGCAAGCTTTCCTGGAAAAATTAATTTTCGATCGTTGGTGACTCCGGAACTGCAACTAGTGCTAGAATTGCAGCTACTGCACGACGGACTTGCTTTCTGAGTCGGAAGTGGAACCATAGAGGTAACTCTAAGACTAGAAGGTCCCGAAGAAACGTGCTCAACTTTTTGGCTCTGCTCTGGTACTCTCTTCGGTCCCAAGCTAATCGATGCACCCCTCGAAACATAGGAAAATCCACTAACCCTTCATTTTATCTGTCAAACTTTCATAGCGAAATAGAGATGAACTAGCCTAAGGCTAAAAATCTCTTTAATAAAGAATTAAAAAAAAAATCATAGCGAATCAAAACAAACATTGTGTAGTACTAGAATTTCGACTAGAATGGGGTACGTTAATCGTTTGCTTGGGACCAATAGGCTAGTCAAGTAGTGAGCCAATTTCAAATCGATAGTTTGTTGGTGGAACCAGGCTTGCAATTGCTCATTACAGCTAAAATTTTATTTTTCGTAATAATGAAACAAATATAGGGGAATTTACGTATTCTCGTCAATCTAAGCAGCGTCCGAACTTCTATTAGCGATTTCTCAGCGTCACACACATACATGAAAGGTTTGTTTGTTGACATTTATCTGCTGCTTGCTGTTCTACCAATTCCAATCGACAGAATTGATCAAAACGGGTTGAACATGTTTTTACAACGCTCCAAACTTCTCAGGTGAGTGTGACTATTGTCGGCAGTCTCTTTTTCTTCGGCACCCTTTCCATTTTAACTGCGTGTTAACCAGCTGTTCTATTATCGGCAACTCGAAATCAGCCGTATTTTGTAGTGTGTATATTTCATTTAAAGAAATATATGGCATAACAGGATTGCACAGTCGTGAAAATGTAATCAGATTGAAGCTGAAAAGGTAAGGAATCGGCATAATACCAACAATCAATACGAAACTATCGATTTGAAATTGGCTCACTACTTGACTAGCCTATTGGTCCCAAGCAAATCGATTAACGTATCCCATTCTAGTTGAAATTATAGTACTACACTATGTTTGTTTTGATTCTCTATGAAAGTTTGACAGATGAAATGAGGGGTTCGTGGATTTTCCTATGTTTCGAGGGGTACATCGATTAGCTTGGGACCGAAGATAGTACCAGAGGTGAGCCAAAAAGCTGAGCACATTTCTTCGGGACCTACTAGTCTTAGAGTTACCTCTATGATAATACCATAGAGGTAACTCTAAGACCACTGGGTCCCGAAGAAAATCATTATTATTTTTGGCTCACTCAGTACCAGAACAACGGTCCCAAGCAGTCCCAAGCTATTTCACTCACCCCTGCATGTTCTGCATGAATCCACACACCCCTGATGTTATCTGTCAAACTTTCATAGCGAATCAAAACAAACATAGTGTAGTAATAGAATTTCAACTAGAATAGGGTACGTTAATCGTTTGCTTGGGACCAATAGGCTACTAAAGTGGTGAGCCAATTTAAAATCGTTAGTTTCGTATTGATTGTTGATAATACCTTCAGCGAAGAGTTTTGATGGGAAAATACAGTGAAATTAACGTTTCAATTTCGGTTGCCGAAAACAGTCAATGGGTGCCGAAGCCATAATTTACCCTATACTATAACGATAATTTTTATTTTTAAGATGCAAGAAGAGGTGGTAAAGTTTGTGTATTACATATAAAATTTGACAATTTGCTTTCAAAAGGTCACAACTAGCGATTTTATGATAGCTGATTGCTCGCTCATCGCGTTGCTTATCGTTACAGCACAAACGAAGTGACAGACGGAGCGGCTCGAAAACATTGGTGACTAACCAGCTATTGCAATTTTTCAGTGTACCACATGGCAACACCACTACTACTGGATTGTACCACATGGCAACACTACTACTAGATTGAACTAGCATTTTCACCAAATGTACTAGAATGCTTTGGTACTATCTCTTTCACTCTACTCAAAACTTAAATGCATAAAAAAATGACAAAATAATACGCACTCTTTGCACACT